ATATATTTATATACTATATACATTATATGTATAGATATATATATTTATATACTATAATATCTATGCATTTATGGATGTATTTGTATCATATTATATATACGTATATGTATTAATATATTTATATATATATATATATTCTTATATGCTTATGTCTATACACACACACACCTATATATATATATATGTATACATATTTATATATATGCATATGTATATATATGTATATTAATTTATATGTATCTATATTATATATGTGTGTGTGTGTCTGTGTGTGTGCGTATATGCATTCGTGTAGTTATATACATCTCTTGTTATAATCATTCTCATAAGTGTTTCATAGGTTTTAATGCATGAGACTTTATACATTGTTGTTATTCCCTACCACTTTCATCATATACCGATACCTGTTCCTTGTGACGATAAATTTGTGTGTGTTTATGCTTGGATCCCTATGCATCGTATGTCACTATGCACAAACGTATATCTGACTGTATGTTATATTTCGCTTGCGCAATATGGCTTCTGTTCTGTATGTTCTCATTGCGACAGTTAGTGTCAGTCGTATTGTACTACAAATATCAATTGAATTTCATGGAGTGTATCCAATGACATCGCTTTTGAGACCATGGTACTGTGCATTTCAACGCTTACGCTATACTTATCCCATTGAACACACCCTTGAGCACTTTTTTATTATTACTTGTGAGTATTTAGGCTTGCGCTATAGTTACCCCATAGAGCACACCCTTGAGTACTTTTTATTATTACGGGTGATTATTTAGGCTTGCGCTTTACTTATCCCATTGAATACACCCTTGAGCACTTTTTATTATCACTTGTGATTATTTAGGCTTGCGCTATACTTATCCCATTGAATACACCCTTGAGCACTTTTTATTATTACTTGTGATTATTTAGGCTTGCGCTATAGTTACCCTATAGAACACACCCTTGAGCACTTTTTATTATTACTTGTGAGCATTTAGGCTTGCGCTATACTTATCACATTGAACACACCCTTGAGTACTTTTTATTATTACCTACGTTTATTTAGGCTTGCACTATAGTTACCCCATAGAACACACCCTTGAGCACTTTTTATTATTACTTGTGAGTATTTAGGCTTGCGCTATAGTTACCCCATAGAGCACACCCTTGAGTACTTTTTATTATTACGGGTGATTATTTATGCTTGCGCTTTACTTATCCCATTGAACACACCCTTGAGCACTTTTTATTATCACTTGTGATTATTTAGGCTTGCGCTATACTGATCCCATTGAACGCACCCTTGAGTACTTTTTTATTACTTATGATTATATAGGCTTACGCTATAGTTACCCCATAGAACACACCCTTGAGCTACTTTTTATTATTACCGATGATTATTTTGGCTTGCGCTATACTTATCCCGTTGAACACACCCTTGAATGCTTTCTCACTATAGTTTATACTTATCTCCGGTGCACTGATTTCCTATTGAAATAATTGTACCAGGTGGTGGAGAAAGGCACAGGGCCTCGTCCGGAGGTGAGTGCGGGTGTACGCATACGCTATAAATACCAACCAATCGAATCACTCGACGTGGATGCCGTGGGCAAGATGGACCTCGGTGAGTATGCGTTCGTACCAACTCACTCTATTAATAGTAGCCGGCAATCAACTGCTCTTATAGTCCTTGCCTGAACTAGAGTAGATGCTTGTTCCGGTATGGTTCCCAGATACTTCACCCGCAGGAACTAGTTGTGACTAGGCCTGGAATGTATATATATATATATATATGTGTGTGTATATATATATATATATATATATATATATATATCATACCTTTTCACATACACTATGATTTTGTTTTTAAGTATTTCTGTGTCACATCAATACCAAATGTTAGCGCGGGTTAACATCTTTTCTTTGAGCTGTGGTCCTAACTCGGGGTAGCGTACCTGTCTGCTGTAGCTGTAGAGTCGATGAAGACGCATCTCAACACATATCGTACTATGGTTGTCTTCGTATGCAGGTGTATGTATTATTATTAGCATTCCCATTCCTGCCTTGTATGTACGTGTGAAAGGCCAGCCACCACCTGTGGTCGTCCGTAGCAACCTGCGGTAGCCTAGGGTTTTAGGGTTTGGTTTGTGTTGTTGCATGCCTCACCACACCTGAGTGTTACTGTGAGACTTGTGCACTGCCCATTGCGTTGAGCTTAACGCCTTAACCGCTGCAATCATTCATTGGCCCACTTCTCACTAACGGGTAAGGCTGAACCCTACGCTACAACCAACAGACCATATGCCGTGGCAATGTGATAGCGACACCTTCGCGAAGGCAGGACAGGACAAATCCAGCCCTGATTTCCAGGGCGGGGACGGCCGTAATCCCGAGTTCCGGGTCGGCGAAGGGGATGTGATCGGTGCGTGGGATCTGATGGTTTCGTTGATGAATGAAGGAGAGAAGGCCTATGTAATTGCTACCGCTGCCTACTGCTGGAGGTTGCCAGGCCTGTATGTATGAATGGGCTGAGTAGGCATGCGGATAGGTTTTGTATATACCGGTTAATGTATATATATATATATATATATATATTTATATTATATATATATATATATATATGTATATATATACATATATATATGTATATATATATGCATCTATGTGTGTGTATGTGTGTTTATATATATGTATGTATATATATATATGTATATATTGGGATGTATTTGTGCATGCGTGTGCGTGTGTGTGTGTGTGTGCATACGTATGCGTGTGCGTGCGTGTGCGTGTGCGTGTACGTCTGTTGTTATGTATTGTGAAGTGTGTATTACTTTGGGGCAGTTTTATGCCCAGGTGAATCGTGCGCTTTGTTGAGGAGTGTCGTTTAGACTGTGAGATCGACTGTGCAGTTCTAACGTTCATGTGTCATGTCAGTTGGAGCTGCATCGCTAATTTCATCGCTCGGCAATAAAGAGCTAAGGCGAACCCTTTATCTTTACCGGGATTGACCCATTTGCGCACCCCCTCCCCCCCCCCCCCCCCTCCTAAAACCCTAAAACCCTATCATGCCCGGCCAAACCATAAGGGCTCGCACCACAGCCATTTAGTACAGTAAGAGGCGAGCTTGCGCAGAAGACACTGTGCTACTGTGCACATATATATGCTACTATATGCTAGTTATATTATACGCTGGTCTCTCTTATCCTCCGCTGCTCATGCATCTGCTATCTTCCTCCATAACCCCTAAACCCTACCTGCACCCACAGCCCACCCCACATCCGGCCCAACCAGGACATGCTGTTCTTCATCGACCTGCAGACAATCACCCACGGCCCTCTAGACATGAACGCCATGGACGCAGCCCAGCGCACACACATCGCCGAGCAGAAGAAAGCGCGCGGCAACTTCTTGTACAAGCGAGGAGACTACGACGGTGCCATACGCACGTACATCCAGGCACTCAGGATAGTCAGCCATGGCACAGTACACTCGCCTGACGCAGACAGAGACGACGACGAGGTGGTGGTGGCCAGTGCTAACCGCAGCAAGCAGATGATCGCGCTGCATCTGGCGGTGTTGAATAACTTATCGCAGGCGCATTTGGTGGTGTGTGGGGGGGGGGGAGGGTCATATGATTACGTATGTGTGAGTGTGTATGTGTATGTGTGTGTGTCTGTATGTGTGTGTGTGTATGTATGTATATGTGTCTGTATGTATGTATTTGTATGTGTGTGTATTTGTATATGTCTATATATGTGTGTATGGGCATGTGTATGTGTTTATATGTCTGTGTGTGTATGGGCGTGTATATGTGTATGTGTATGTGTCCGTATGTTGGTGTGTTTGTATGTGTATGTGTATGTGTCAGCTTGAGATCAATAAGAAGACGTTTTTTTATACGTCTAGTTTTTCCGGGTTGTGTACAAGGAAGTTAAATTGACAATGATATATATATATATATATATATATATGTGTGTGTGTGTGTGTGTGTGTGTGTGTGTTGTGTATTATAATATATATATATGTATATATATATGGGGAAAAATACCTACGTATATACGTTTACTGATGGATATTCATAATTTATGCTTTACTCGATTATTACTGTGCTTAGTCTAGGACGGTACACATTGCTGTTTGTGACATATTGTGTAATTTAACTCGTTGTCAGAGCTTTCAGCGCATACTAAATGATACCAGTGACAGTATTGCCCCGAATTTCTTGTGTGTAACCGTGTACTAAAGTAAGGATATGCGTATATGGGCATTTACACATACACACATCAATACCATTACGTAATAAGTCTAAATATATCTGTCTGAAACGTATTCATTCGACATTGTATTTCATAAAACCCTAAGACTATAAAGCACCCCAAACCCTAACACGCACAGACACGGTCAATCGACAAGGCGCGTAAAATCTGTGACGAAGCACTCGAGATTGACGAAAACAATATCAAGGCCTTATACCGATCAGGATGTGTCTACTTGGTATGTATGTTTGATAATGTGATCCAATGGAGGTATTATATAGGAGGCATTGCTGCTTGTGCTATATATATATATATATATATATATATATATGTCATGTACATGACACGTAAACACACACACATATATATATATATATATATATATATATATATATATATATATATATATATATATATATATATATATATATATTAATATTAATTAATATAATTATAATATATATATNTATTATTATNTTATTNTATGTATAGTATATA